AGTGAGTTGACCCGGGGGGGGGGATGGGGGGAGAGACTGCTGGCTTTCTTGGGCGTTTTTTGGTGGGGGTGTGGTGTTGCAGCTGGTGGTCGTGGTTGTGTTTGCTTTTGGTGCTCGTCTGTGCGAAAGTTTTGTTTTGGGAGCGCGCCAGTTTGTTGCGGAATTTGTGACCCACGACATGACTGCAGCTAGACCTGAGTTCTTGGATGGAGGGCTTGTTTAGGCTCTGCGTGTGTCTATTTATATCGTTGGCATCGACCGCGCTAGCCGTCTAGACAACCAATTAAAAATCGCCAGTCGTGTTTTGAGGTTTGTTTGCTCTTGGATGCATGTTAAGGCGTTTGCTGCCTACGGGCCTCGTGTGCGGCGACGTCAGTTCCCACTGCAAGAAGAGCAACCAACCGATTTCCCTATCTGACAATGGACCCGGTCGGGTCGTCGGCTGTAACGACCCGTTGTCCTTCCGCCGTCATGCGAGAACGTCCGAACGGACGCACGTAGTAGGTAGGCGTGGGTGGAGGGATGGCCATGAGTCGGAGGAGGTCTGTTTACGCTCTGTTGGTGACTCTTCATTGGTCTGACGGATGCTGAACCGCCGTAGCTCATCCGTACACGGGATGTGTCACACACCCATGGCCGACCCAACCTAATCCCAACTCACACCCCAGCCTATAACCTTGGCCCATGGCCAACGGACGGCCTGGCGGCCGAAAACTGGGCGGGAACCGCGGCTGCGCCGCGTTCGAGATCTCGGAATGCGGAACAGCGAGAGGGCACTGGAGAGGAAGACACCGCTCGACCAATCAGAAAGCGTACAAGCCGTACACAGGAAGAGCCACGTCAATCGCTTCTCTTCTCTCAGGTTGCTTTTCCCTCTCTTGATGACTGACCGTTGTTGCGTGCGCTGACGGGAAGCTGTTGCCGCACTCGAGGTTTCTTTGTGGTGCTCGTTTTGGACCGGTGGAGTTACAACAGAAGCTGGACACATGCACTAGTTGCTTCCCGTTCATCTATTTGGTGGTGCTGGCTTCTTGTCCATTGGTGAGGTGCTGTTCCGGCGCTCTCCCGGACACACCTCGGCTGATCGATCGGTCCACGCGCTCCTCGCTCCTTGTAACGCCACACGAAAACCAAACCAACGACGGAGGGGGAAGACCCTCTTTCTTGCCTCAGGCCATATACGCACGCACATAATAGGCCCGTGGAGGATTCTGCTACTCTACGAGAACTACAACTAGTGCCAGAGGCGGCCCACAGGTTTTGAGGTGGGGGTTGAAAAGACGACGCCTGGCGGAGGCTGGAAATTTTTCGGCGGTGTCACGTCCTTTCCCTATTCTTCTCGCCATCTGAGTATTGGATGGATTTATGCAAGGAAGGGTACCGCGTTCCCGTTTCCGAGCTGTAAGCAGCGCCGTGAGGAAATGCAGCGCCAGTTGCTGCTGCCTTCACGTAAAAAAAAAATACTTTAGGCCTATATTATCAAGGAACCCCCCCTCGTCCTTGCAAGTACTTTTCAACGCCAAAGAACACGGATATGCGTTGTCGCTAGCCTCTCGCCCGGAATATGGATAAACCAAAAATAAATTAAAGAAATGACTCAACAGCGCAAGTTCCGTCACGTGAGAGGAAGTGTCTCTGGGTACGGGGCATTGACGAGTTCTCTAAGTACCCCCCCCCCCCAGTATTCACGGAGCACCCCCCTGGCGCCGGCAGTGTCGGCGTCGACCCTGCGGGGAGGACCCATGATAATACCGTACAAATCTAAAAACATTCTCGTCTTGAATCGCAGCGACCATAACCTGTCTGTGTGTATCAAATGCATCAACGCCCCGGCTATTCTATCGTACCAAGGAGTGAGTGCTACAGCGGTGGATGTTCCAGCTTAGTCTGAACGGGTCACCGCCACAACGACGTCTCTGTATCATCAATCATCAATGCCTCTTTGTGTCAATGAGTATCAAAGGGCTTGATAACCCGGCATATGGCACAAGCCAACGCCGAGAACGCCATGGGTCAAGACGTGGCACGTCTGTCTGTGCGGCAAAAAAAAGGAAAGGACCAAGGTAGTATCTATAGAAGCCAAAATCAAACCATTAGACTAGTTAGCGCTCACTAGCTTTCATAGCCGAAATCAAACTATAATAATGGTTTGACTTTTAGTCTAATGGTTTGATTTCGGCTTCTATGTATCTCTGATACCTACCTGTGAGAGGCGAATAGGGACACAACTTGTGGCGGCACGCTAGTCACATCAGACACCGTCTTTGTTGCTCTCACCACTTGTGCCAAGACATCTACGAAATACGAAATACTTGACGCAGTGCGATGGTGACCAAGACAAACACAAACCCACGCATGCATAAATGTACACACACCGACCGACCTTACGTGAATACATGAATTGAAAGCCAGGGGCAACGATCACAAACGCCCCCACCGTTTACAAGCACGAATAACAAAACTTGCAGATGCATCATAGCAAGACTGGCGAAAAAACAACACACCTCCGCGACGCCCTCCCCCGCGCCCCCCTCAAACCCATAAAAAAAAGTTAAACAGTCACTGCGACTGGCTGGCCTAACACAGGGGGCTGATTGAACAGTAGAGTCCGGTCATACACTCTCGCGGACCACCACACAGCCACGGGACGGCCCGACGCATCGCCTTCACCCACTCCAAACCAACACCGCAAGCAGCAGCAGCAGCTCGGCGGCGTTGGTCGAAAACTCCACAAAAAGCCTCCCCCCCCCGTTTCCCCCCCCCCTCGGCCTTGTTTGCCATCGGGGTTTGGGTTTTCGTCGCTTGGCAACGACGTTGTAAAACAAGCCGCCCCCCCCGGGGTTTACCATCGGGGTTGGGTTTTCGTCGCTTGGCAACGACCTTGTAAAACGAGCCCCCCGCTCGGTGTTTTCCATCGGGATTGGGTTTTCGTCGCTTGGCAACGACGTTGTAAAACAAGCCAATTCACTTGGTGAACTCCGCCACCAGGTTACCGTTTTTTTTTTTTTTTACCCCGGGTTTTTTTTTTTGGGGGGAACCATAATGGGGGTCGAGGAAAACCATTTTGGGGGGGGGGGAGAAACCCCCCCCCGCGCCGGGGGGGAGATTGGCCCCCCGTTGTGTTAAAAGGGTCAAGCCTCCCGGAGGCAGTTAACGGGGGCTTACAACTGTTTCGGGAGGGGAAAGCCCCGGAAAAAAAATTAAGTCATCCGGGGCTGCCTTCCGTACGCAAGGAAGTAAGCCCAAGATCCGGACCCCCCTTGGCGGGAGGCAGCTCCCCCTTCAGGGGCCTCCCCAAATCCCTCCCGGCCCTTCGCCTTTGGTGATGGGAGACCCTGTTCCGGGGAGACCCCGGGGTGCTCCCTCCCGCCTTTGTGGGGAGGGGGGGTCAATGGCCAAAGGGTTCCGGCAGGCCGGATTTGGGGTCCCCCCCCCCCCCCCCGTGGAAAGCAATCCGGCACAACACAGCCAACAGAAAATCGTAAAACAAAGCACATGCACCATGTTCACGGACCACGGATACGCACAACTCAAAAACAAAAAAAACGAAATTCCCGCCGCCGCCCGCTGCTTCCGCCGCTCCGCAGCTGTGTGATTACGACCTCCATCCCTACCGCCTGTTCGCCGAGAATGGTACCCCTGGCGGGGTTTCCAAAGAAAACGTGAAGCAACGGGGAGCGGGGTAGAGGGACTAAACCATGTCGACGGCTGCCGACGAGTGCGCGTGCGAATGTCCGTGCCCAGAACACTGCCCGTGAGAATGCCGATCGTGTTCTAACCCTGCGCTGCCGTTGCAGCTACTGCCCGCCCCCCGTTCCGCCTCGTGTCCGCCACCATCGCTCTCAACCCCGGACGACTGCCTCCCCGTCTCCCAATTTCCATTCGGCGGCGCCCCCTCCGTTGCGCCGCCGCGCCGCGCCGCGTCATCTCCATGCCGCAGCACCACTTCCACCGTGTTTCGCCCGATGTTATGGCTCCCCAAGACTAGCTTCACGGCCTCAACCAAGCCCGTCGCCCCGCCCCGCCTCGTCTGCGCTGCCCCCACCCCGCCATTTCCCAACCCTTCTGCTGCCGTTGTTGAGGCGCCGCCGACTTCCGGGTCGGCGACGACTGTGACCGCGGCCACGAACGGTTCCTCGCTGTTGAGCTGGGTCACGCTTAGGCTCTGGATCGTGGATATTCCTGGCACCTGTCGGTGTGGGCGAACGGCGGCAGCCAGCGGCCATCGAGAGGGCACGGGAGGAGGCGTGAGGTGGGCATGGCCTCTCTGGCGACCACGACGACGACGACGAATCATGATGCGTGTCGCGGCTTGCCGTGCGAAGGAGGTGGCCCAGCCAGGAGCAAACGCACGTGGGGGTGGCGATAGTGCAAAGAATCTTCGCACGGGGTCGCGGCACCGCAACGGGGGGCCGCGGCGACACGACGAGATTACGACGGCAGAGACGATACATGGTGTGTAGCCCGTTAGACCTTCGCGCACACCTCTTCTACACCCAAGTCCCCGCGGCGGGGGGAGTGGCAGACAACACAGCAACAGCGACACGACCAACCTCGGTCGTCTTACACAAGTATACCCCCTCTCCCTGAGTGAGGCTTACATCCGCAACCTTTTCGTGCGACCCAACCGCGCGTGAGGAGGCGGCTGTTCTCCCCAGCAGATACCAGCACCAGACACCCTACCTCCAACCAGCACCGCCGTAGAGCAACGCTTTAGACTAGGTGATGAGTGATGTCATTTCAAGGAGTCGCCCGATCACCTTCAAGAGTTCCTTTCTCAGACGTGGCAGGTCCGCGCTGCGAGGAGTCCCCTCCAGGAGAACATGCGCACACTCCTGGACGGAGCGGGCGCGAAAAGGGTCACGACGGCAGGCAGCAATACCGAGGGTATGTTGGGGGTATCGGGCAGGGTTTATTGAGACACCTAGAATCGACACACTCCACGCTTGGAGAGGCATGCAGAGCAGAGCAATCGCGGTCTAGCGAGGTGTGCACATCACAAACAGCGTGTGTGAATATCGCGCCATCTCCTCTACATGTATGTCGGATACGCATGACGTGACTTGAGAGATGCTTACTGTCAATTTGCGTCTACCGCTGTAAGTAGTATTTTTTCAGACATCATCAGGTAAAATGCTGTCGTCGCCTACGTTTCAGCCTTTACGACTTCCACACTCCCCGCGTAAATGGAGGCAAACAACAAAGAACGCAGGAGCAGCGGACTGGGACAGCGGAGAACGATTCCGCTGTCAGAAGCTGTCCCGCGGGTAGCAAGTTGCAAGCTGGGTGTCGACTTCATGCCTTCGCGACCGGAAGAGCGCAGCAGCGATTCGACTACCGGAGCGCTGCCGCGCGGGACTGTATACACCCTACATACCTTCACGACCGGAAGAGCGCAGTAGACGATGAAGACTGAGAGGGCGATGCTCGTCAGCGGGTCCAGGTAGTCTGTCCAATCTACGCCAGACCTGCCGAAACTGAACGCAACAACGCCTGACGCGGCGCGGTGGGGGGGCGGCGGCGATCGGCGACGTTGGGAAGAGAGGGGGGGGGCACAAGTCCCAGAATCATCAGGATCGGTTATTTAGTCATGTTCTGCGATGTTGTGCAAATAATATTACTTTCGAAATAACAAGGTCTTGGCGTTCCACACTCCGGTAGACTCGAGGGTGCGTGTTTGCACACTATCACGTCTGGCGGGCCGAAGTAGAAGAGGCCACAACTTGAGGTGAGGCACTTCCCACGACATTCGTATTTCCGTTTTTTAAACCCCCGACTCCCGGTCTAAAACCTTCGGCAAAAACAAAAAATCCCCACCCAGCCTCATCTCCCTCTAAATCCCACTCCCCCCGCCGGGGTGCCTCTCTTTCTTGAACTCACCCTGAGCGCAAACGACACCGGAAGAAACCGCATCCGCGATGGCGTGCACCAACACCGCCATCAGGTTCATGCTCTGCCCGTGCCCCTTGCAACCCCCGCCCCCGCCCCCGTCAGCGTGCCCGTGCGAGTGCGAGCAGCCGTCGCCGTGTCCGCCGCCGCTGTACACGTCATCGTGTTGATTCCCGTGGACATGGTGCCCGTGCCCATGACTCTCCCCGGAACAGCCGCCGGCAACTGCCGCGGCGCCGTGCTTGCCATGGACCTTCTTCAGCTCGAGCCCTTCGTTGTCACCGTGCCCATTCGCGTGGGCGTGGGAGCCCCCGTTCTGCCCACCATGGCTGCAGCAAGCATCGCCGTGGCCGTTACCCCGATCCTCCTCGTGCCCGTGCCCGTTCGCATGATGGTTGTGCCCGTTCGCATGATGGTGGTGCCCCCCGTGCGAGTGCGAGCAGGCGTGTCCTCCCTCCCCGCCGCCGCCGCCGTTGCCGGACAATAATGCCTCCCGGGCGACGGTGGTGTCGTTAAGGCTCACGCGTCCGATGGGATCGGACCCGGCCAGGATGACGGAGACTTCCTCGCCACCATCGCCCCCGCAAGCCGAGGAAGATCCCGCCGTAGGTGGCACGTCGTAACGGTCGACAAGGGTAAGCAAGCCCACAGAATCTAGCTTCACGGGGGCTTCGTGTCTGCGCGGCAAGTGGAGGGGTGAGGGGTGGGGGGTGGGGTGCTCGATTGGTTGCTGCTGTTCGTCGTCGAATTTTGACCACGAAACAAGTACGAGGGGGGCATTTCTGTTGTGGCAATGTTACTTGTGTTGTTGTCCGGCTGGGGTCAAAGTGCATGCTACCTCTTGGACGACTCAATCTAAGTTCATACGAAACCCAAAACACGTGTCGTAGAATGAGGGGACCCCAGATAACAAAGCAACACGCGCCCCTCCCCCCTGTGTCACGAAGGAGAACGACATGAACGGACGACGAAAATAGAGGCAAAGCCCCACAGCACGTCCCGACTCTCCGTTCGTTCAACCGCACTCCTACGGCCTCGACTTGAGACAAAACTCACCCGTACGCACAACCCTTTCTCACGGGGTTCCATACCGTACCATGGCTGTTGGAGGGGTCGTCTTTATCGACCTGGAGTCTTCGCGTTGGTGAACCGTTTTAAGCGGGGTTCGAGATGCGAATCAAAAGAATCACACACGCTCGCTTGTTTCTGTCTTTAATCCGGAGAGCAGCTTAGCCTTCCCCGTGACGTCCCTTCACGGGGTCCCAGATTATGCATTTTCTTTGTTCAACCGCACTGCGACTGGCGTCTCTTGATTGGTGAGCCGGTTAGCGCGGTCGATGCTAAAATAAAAAAACACGCGCCGGCACGCACCCATGATCATGGCTGTGGCTGTGCGCCGCCAGGAACCCCCCGCAGTGGGTGTCGTGGGACTGGCCGTCCTCCCCTGGGAACCAGAAGAACAACACCCCGACCAAGTTGATCACCACCCCCCCGAAAGCCAACGAGATGTACAGCCACCCGTCCGTCACCTCCTGTGGCACGATCAGTCTCGGGATGGCCGAGAGAATGATCTGAGCGGGGGGAGGGGGGGCGGGGGGGTCGTGGAATCAGAGGCGACGGAGGCCGAAGGAAAAAGCGGCCCCGAAGGAGCAGTGGTCGTCTGTGTATGGTTCCCAGCACGTCGAAATAACGGGGTTCCACAGAATCGCACACACTACCCCTCATGCCGATTCCGAGTGACTTCGTCCGGCAACAAGACGTCATTCGAGTAGAGTTGGGCGCTGAACGGCCGCACACCCGTTTGGATACAGCGTACACCTCCTCGCCTGCTCATTTCACCCCCCGCCCCACTCCAGCAGGATAGAGTGCCGCAGGCAGCTTGGGGGAAATCAACAAAGAAACGCGAACCACTATCCAGACTTCGTCGAATATGGAACCAGGAAACATGACGCTCTGCCTACGCTGTGAAGCCTGATTGATACTGCTCCCCCCGAAATCCCAAGTCGATGCAGCAGACAATTAAGTGCTTCCCCCCTTCTGGTTCACCTATGTGAAACGTACATAGCCCGGGCCGGCGAAAACCCGGCATATCGCTCCGTACCCAGCATCGCAGGTATGCGGGGTCAATCGTCTACGGCATGCGCTAACTGAGTACACCCCCCCCCTGGCGTCGATCCCTCGCCTCCGTCCTACTCACATACGCGGACAACGCGATCAGCGCAACGCTGTTCATGAGGCCGCCGATAACCTCCGATCGCTTGTATCCGAAGGGCAGCCGGTCCGTACCCCCGTCCTCGTTCTCAGGACACGGTCTCCGCTGCAGGCGGTGGATGTACATGGCCATGCCGATGGCCGCGCTGGCGCGTGCGAAGGAGGGGGCGGCGGGAGAGGCAGCGGCGACAACACGCGTGGCGTGTTGAAAAGTCAGAGACAGCAGTGGTACTTTCGATGAGCAACAACCCGCCCGCAGCAGCCGTGATGGACGGCGCGAGGTGGTGGTGGTGGTAAGCAGGATGGGAGTTTGTTACGCAGGTAATTTAGATGCGGAGGTTGGATTCCTGCTGTGCTGGCTGGCTCCGCGACGTCAATCGCCGCCTCTGTTGCCCGTGTATCGACAGTCGACAGGCACACGGGCGGCGATTGCACCCCTACAACACTTCCCTCCCTCCCTTTTTCAACATATCCCCGCAGAAAGCAGCCCAAGTACTTTTCAGCTGTTTCGTGAGACCCCCCAGGGGTGTTAAGTTTCGAACCAATTTTTTGGACGAGTATTCTTCGATCACAACGCGCCAGAGCTGACGCGCCCGGAGTACTTACGGAACCTTGACCTTGTCATCGAAGCGGCCAAGGGACCCCCACCCCCCCAAGACCCCATGTGCTGCTCCCATCATGTCCTCTTGGCTCAAACATTTGATCCATTGCGGGAACATAGTGCGTGTATTTCTTGTGTATTTCAGCACAATTTCAGAGGCGCAGCAGCAGTGTTCATCCCCTACCGCGGGGGTTGCGACACCGCTCGTACGTAAACTACGATAAATCCAACCAAAAACTTGCAAACAGCAGTTCATGACGAGAATCGCGATTTTTCTCGCCGGACAACAAAAAAAAACTTCTCTCCGATCAAACAATCCGGCGGACACATAGCTTTCAGCTTTCTCACGATACAAAGGGTGCAGTATTTTACTCAGTATACTTGATATCCCTAGGTCCCTACGTGGTACGTCAGTCATTCGGCAATCATTTCCGAAGTGCAATGAGCGGTTCTGGTGATTGGGTGGCAACATGGCAACATTCAGCCCGGCCGAGTACGGCCGTAATCTGCAGTTAATTTGTAGTCCTTCCCCAGTTGATTTCAAGGCGACCATGCCAAAATCAAGCACAAGGTATACATATTGTAATACCCGGCGGGATAGGCCGATACACGGCGAACGCGCCGTGAAAGCATACCCTCGAACCTCCGAAAAGACTGCAGCCGTTGCATGATTAACGTGTGACGTGCGTTTACGTGTCAAATGCATACGTGTGTCATCAGATTCGGGTCCGTTCATGTTTCTGCTATGCATACGTGGGCGCTTCTACTCCATAAAATCACACACAGAGATAGATGTTCGATGATATAAAGCGACTTGAAAAAGTCCCTACTACAATAATATGCACACGCAAGCATGCTGCCATCGCCATCCGCACGCAGCACTTGATTCGCCTATCCAGCCTATCCAGCGTTCGCCATCTGTCTGCCAATGGGCAACGGGCCTCAGGCCCGCGGCAAGTACGTACATACATGACGCATACGCCTCTGCCTTGGTTGGGTGTATACGCCTCTCTCCTCTCTCTGCATTGGCTGTACAGCAGTAAAATATCATACGCGTATACTATCCATAATTCGTATCCAATCCACCAACTGAAAGACCCGGTCGAGCTATCATGATGTGATACTTTTGACCAGGGCGAGGTATCTATGGCATGAAATCGACGGGCAGTAGGCGAGCGCTCTCGCGCCGCACCGAATCGTTGCAGAGCAAGCACTACGATATTGCCTGCGACGAATGTTGAACTTGGTATCGATCTCGTGTTGCATGCATGTGTGCTAAATATTTTATGCTATGGATAGAAGGCTGGCACCTCGTCAACAAAAGACGACCCGCAGGACAAGTTGCAGACCGGGATACCACACCGTCCACAATACATAAACTCGTGAGTAAAAATGAAAAGCCGCGAGTTCGAGCGGCAGCGGTATGTACGCACACATATTCGTCAATGATGCGTTCGTTTAACTAAGTGTACCGCACTTACACGTCGGAAAGATTGTGGAAGCCGTCGGACATGAGCGCCAGCGAGCCGAACGCCATGGCCCCGGCCAGCTGGAGCACCACGTAGCCCAGGTTGAGCAGGCCGAAAATCGCCAATCGCCCCGACATCTTGTCCTCAGGTTCCCCGCTAGTCGCGGCTGCCGATACGCCACCCTCCCCCCCGCTGCTGCTGCTGCTGTCTACTGATGTGTCAGGGGTGCTGTCCCCTTCCCCTAGCTCCACGTAGCTGAGCATGTGTTTGCGCTTGCTGGCACCGGCGGCGGCGCTGGTGGTGGTGATCGCGGCAGCGACAAGACCGTTGTCGCTGCCCGCTGCGGCGCTACCTCCCATCATCATCCCGCTTGTTGTTGCTGCGCAGCTTGCTGAAGGCTCGTCGTCGTCGCACAGCCCGACGTTAGTGTAGCCCCCTCGCTTGCCGCCTCACCTAGTGGAACGAACCCCGTTGGCTGGGACGTCTGGGTCGCTGGCGCCGACGGTCTCCTCAGTTGATTCGCGGCTATCTCTAATGTCCCGAGCTTGGACGGACGCTTTGCTGAGGTCGATCGATGGAACGTTTTGGTATCAGGCGGGGTGTCTCAAATCATCACACACCACACCAAACGGCGGAGATGATCAATCACGAGTGGGAAACCGAATTGGCAAAGCAACCGGGAAACTCGTGCAGACTGAACATGCGTATACGAAGCGCGTGTGTTCGTGCTCTGTGAACACAAGCGTCGTCAACGGCCGCCCCCCTCTAAGCGCTTGTCAGAACCCATGCGTAAAAGCTGCTGTTGCACAGGGTGCTGCCAGTTTTTTTCGAAAAGAAAATGTTACACGTCAAGAGAGAAGGAGAAGAGCTGGTGTGGTGTTGCTCCGCTACAGCTCGGTGTGAGAACTCGGAAACAACCGCGAAGGCGCGGGCCTTCGGGCAAGCGCCAGGGCCGGCTGCGCCAGCTTCCGTGCCCTGCGGTGCCCGGGCAATAGGCCAAAGGTCGCAGCATGTACATTGAGAGGACAAACCCCTCATAGATTGATGTGAGATGAGATGATGTACACGGGCTGTGCTCGTGGTTGTTGTGCGTATGCTACATACGATACGTCGCGACATACAGCTTCCGAAGCGAGAGGTGCTACGACACTGACCTCTCTCTGTCTCTCCCTCCGCAGGACCAGGTAGCTGGGTATCCTTCAAGGACACGCGTGAATGAAGACTGCTGTAGGTGTCCGGCCGCCTCAAACCTATGGTGCCATGACCTGGAAAGAAATTGAATTGAATGTTCTACGTATGCGGTTCGCCAAAGGACCTCAATTCTCCCAGCAGACACACCCCACCCGACATACCCCGGGGGTTTCGTGTTTCGTCATTTCTCCTTTTTTTTTTGCAGAAGAGAATCACTTCAGATCTTGATGGATCGCGATGTAATCCACTGCTGCTGCGCTGGAAGCGGATTTGATACAGTTGTAACGGGTCCATTTGGGAGGAACACGATTTGCTCTCTTTGGGAGGAGCACGATTATTTTGTCCTCTTGCAGAAAGCTGTACCTGGCGTCTGACACGTCGTGCACCTCTACGTTTTTTTTTTTTTTTAATCTTTACTTCAAATTAGCGCTCACAGCACTATTACGGTGGCACATAAATATTGAGAGCAAATTTTTGCTTTTTTCCAGTGAAAAAAAATTCTCAACAAAGACGTGTCGCGATTATTTTTTCAATTGCAGGAAACAAACAATATGGTCCAAAGCCTTAATATACAAAGTAAAGCTAGGGCAGTAGATCTACCACCCATCAATTGAAAGACGGCAACCACAGCTTTCAAATGAGCCTGGTCTTGCTCGCATCAGATAACGACAAGGTACAGCAGTGACCGGCGAGTGTAGGGTACTTAATTGACTGTTTTTTTATGTGGGGAGGCGAAAAAAAAACAAATGACGAAGAAATAGCAACGCAAGTAGAACTTTTTGGAAACCCTATGATTTGGCGCGCGGGACCATCAGACCAGCTTTTGAGACAACGCAGCCGCAGTCGAGTACCGCACGCTGGAAGAGGGGCCTCCCAGCTATCTGCCGATGACAAAACCGAAGGGCAGGAACAAGCCCACCGGCGGTGTCGGTGGACGCGAGACGAAGGCGACAAAGAGAGCCAAGACAGCAGCGGCGAGAGATGCTTTGGCCCTGGACAGACGCAGCGCTAAGCTTGAGCAGGAGCGTGCAGCGCTCGTGGCGGAGATGGCGCAGAGAGAGCAAGCCCTCAGAGCGAAGGAGCAAGCGCTCAGAGCAAAGGAGGCGGCCTTCGCCAAGAAGGAGGAGGCAGCGGCGCGCGCCGCTGCGCAGCGGGAAAAGCGTGAGCAGGAAGAGGTTGAGCGCGTCGAAGCAGCAGCTGCTGCGGCGGCGGAGAAGGTGGCTCAGGACCACCTGGACTACATCGACACATCTGTGCACGAGGTGAAGCCGAAGAAGGGCGAGGTCTGGACCCAGTTGCAGTCAAGGATGGTCCTCATGCTTCTCTTCGACCTCCGCAAGGACGGTCGCTCTGAGAACGAGGCGGTGTTGCAGGTCAGTACACAGCAGTGAAGGTCGGATGGTGCGGCGCAGCAGCAGGCCAATGCCTTTTTTAGATTTTCATCTTGTGTGGAGACCACCTTCATAAAGGTAGAAACTCCCCAACGTCTGTCGAGGACGATTCCCTCTTTTCACAATGGCGTCGACGAAGAGATGTCAGGGTGTCTGCTTTTGGTTGCAAAAGACACGGGTTCAAAACCCGCTGGTCACTAAATTTTCTTCCGGATAACGGAAAAAGAAAAACGGTGGGTGGGCCAAGGGAGGACGCACTGGCTATCGAACTCGGAACTTCTGAAAACGTGGCGGACGTAGCGAACCCGTAAAACACGTACAGAGGATTGTGAGGAATGTGAATCGCCCCGCCGCCAGCCGGTCGGGTTCCGGTTACCCCAAGAAGACTTCTCTTGCCTGGGCAACAAGAACAAGTCTCGAAAAAAGGGGGGGGTAATGTGGAGACCACCTTCATAAAGGTAGAAACTCCCCAACGTCTGTCGAGGACGATTCCCTCTTTTCACACTTGATCAAAAAAGGATAATGGTTGTCGGTGTTTGAATGTACTTGTACTCCGGAATAGGTGCAGTACACCCTGTTTTTGCTGCTGCTGTTTACAACAGCAGTATGCTCATGTGTGGTGCGTGTATTTTCGTCGCATGTACATTGGGCGCGAGCGTGTGCCGTTCGGTACTTGTTTGACTCACCAGTCTATGTCACACACATATTTCACCAGGAATACATTGTACTGTACTTCACAGCAGTACTTTACAGCAGTACTTTACAGCAGACGAGCAGACTTGAATGTGCGATGTCTCACTGCTGTACAATGTCCCAAGTGCACTGACCTCATTCATGAACGATTTTGCAATATTTTCTCTCTGGACCTCTCTATGCTGGCAGGTTGCGCGCACTTTCAAGATCGGCCACGACAAGGTCAGGCGCATCAACAACCACTGGTGGGATCACCGCCAGTTGTACGAGACCACCGCCGCGGGGAGAGCCAAGACGGCAAAGGAGGATGATGGGCGAACACCGCCTCACCGAAGTACAAGCAGATCAACTTCGCGAGTTCATCAACGACGAGCACAAGGCCGGTCGTCAAGTCTTTCGCCGCACGGTGGCAGAATGGATGCACAGGACTTGCAACATGGAGCAGCCGTCCAACCGTTCGGTAGGAGGGCTGCTGAGAAGGCTCGGCTACAAGCGTCGTATATAGTGAAAAGTGCTTCTTACTTGCATCCGAAAACCCAAGCTGGCCCGGCTGTTAGACAGGGGGAAACACGATATTGATCCCTAGCAGCATCTCTACGCGCAACATTCTCCGAGACCATGTCTTGCCGATGTATAGGAAACATGGCCGGTTGTTATTCCACTCACTACTTTCGCCGAGAGGCGCAAGTGCAAAATCTCTCAGCGGGTAGCGGCGCGGTGGCCAACAACATAGCCTACAAAATCGCGCCCCGTCCGTGAGACCCGCCGGGTCGAACAATCAAGCTCATGATCTACTGAGGGTTGTGCCATGCAGCTGAATCAGGCGAGATTTCTCAGACGGCACACCACATCGTAGCGGGTGAATATCGCACCCTGACTCTCAACGAATCGTTCTTTATACACCAACAACAACAACCGCCGTCTTATGGACCCCATGTCTGAATGCAGCTGGCGATACCTCTATAACAAGTACGGACTCCCAAGAGAGAAAAACAACAAGCACATCATCACACCGCCATCATTCACAAGGGCAGCTGCACCGCACCCAAAACAATTACAATCCGTAGACTTCGTTCTTACTCCATCCTCTCACTCTTCGTCACCACTGCTACCGCTGTCATCATCATCATCACTATCCAAATCATCGAGATCGAGCGAAATCTTGGGCCGCTTCGGTGGGGTCGGTCTCGCAAAGCTCCCCCCCGACGCCGACGCCGACGCCTTCGACGACTTCCCCTTCCCGCTGCTGCCGCCGCCGCCGCCGCCGCCGCCGCCGCCGCCATCGGGACTACCGCCACTATCCTCGCCCGCCCCCGCCGGCCGCTTCACCCCTCTTCTCTTCGGCGACCCTTCCCCGCCACCTGTACTGCCCGGCTCGTCCTTTCGATTTCGGCCGTCGCCAGATGGGCTGCTGCTATTGCTACTGCTAGTACTATCGCTTCCCGCAGCTCCACTGCCGCCCGCGGGGCCCCCAGCGGCCCCGGCGGCGCCCGTTTGATCTGGGGGCCTGTCCAGGTCGCGCGCTAGCGTCAAGAGCTCGGGGAGCGACAGCGAGGAGGTGCCTGTGGCCAGAAACAGGGGGTGGAGGGGGAGGGTGTACTCCGTTTAGTTGTTAGACCATTGACCACGCGTCCTTGAGAGGACGGAGCAATAAAGGGAGGGGGGGGGGTGGCCATGACGCAATTGTGGCTGCCCGGTTTTGGGTCGACCTGAGAATATTGGCCACGTACCCCGATAGGGATGATGCACTGCTGTTCCTTGTCCGAATAAATCTGTTTTCTAGCCCTTGGCGAGATTTGCCGTCACTACATGACATTCCACACACGCACAGTGTTTCTCTCTACAGCGACTCTAATCGAATATTTGGGGCTCGCCCAAGGGACAGGGTAGGGTAGTTCGCGCGCTGGGATACTCTGCGCTCCCTGACAACATGCACCGCCAAGCCGGCAGCACGAACATACTTGAAACAACGCCGCGGGATAGGAAAATATGGCCAATCACCAAAAACCGCAACTCGCACCACCTCAAGATTACTCCGGGATATACAACAACAACAACAACAACAACAGGGGTTTCCCTTCGTCATGGACGGTCAAACGCGTCTTGCCCACGCCGAAAACACGCGCCGGTTTGCTTGGTACTCGAAGCAGCGAGACGGTGAAGCAATGGATGAAACATTTACCACCGCCGCCGTTAGCGGTAACCTACTATCTAACGCCTGATGACACCGGTCCATCGGTTCGACCACAGCAACGGAAGATCTACCCAATCGACCACCACTACCGCCAGCACCACTGCAGACGGGGGTTTCTGTAAGGAGCAAGACTGGCTCTCCCTCTCAGACAGGAGGCGTGGTCAACAGTCAACCCACGTGGGCAAGCTTTCAGAGGCACGCCCACATTACAGCGCTTCAACTCTCCCCCGCTCCCCGCCTCCATCCGAAACATGTGTGCTCCCAATAACCTTGGCATCAACTACTACTGGTACTGTGCAAACACAATAGAAAGACAAACAGCCCACCTGGAGAGACGGCAAATGCGCTGAGAGCTCCGGCGCGCATCATCTCCGGCCGTGGCGCGGGAGGTGCGAATCCCACCATCGCCATCCCAGGCTTCCAGTACGCCGGGGCGGAGGTGATGCCGCTGATGCGTTGAGCATAGTCTACGATGTCTCTGACGTCGATCTCCGCTGTTTGACGACAATGGAGAAAGTGGGGAGGGGTATTTTGAGTGAGAGGTGTGGGGGCGGGTACCTCCGTGTGCGGGGAGGGAGGGGGGGGGGGGTGCAACGAAGGAGCAGGAGCTCGAAAACTGCTACAAGCAAGCGTGCAGGTAGAGTGTGTACTACATCCGGTGGCGAAGTATTTGAACTGTATGCGTGCTTGGTAGGGTTCAGGGTGGAGCCACTAGACATTTGCTCTGTCCTTAAGCGGGTCGAGCTCACGTTTCGAACTAAATGGGCTATGTAGCTGGGAACACGCCGTCACCATATCTTGAGTGCACGCGGCTGCTGAAACTCACCAGCTTCCGCTTTTCGGCCTGCCTCCAGCAAGCGCTTGGCGTCCCTCAGAGGTCCTCGAAGCGCTGCATCGGCCTCCGTGAGCTTTCGGGCGCAGTCTTGAACTTGCTGCTCCCCGTACCTCACTTCTTGCCGGAGGGACTCAACCTCCGCGTGCAGCTGTTGATGCTCGCGTACTATGGGATGAACGAAGCGGGCGCGGGGGTCGGTATGCGGGGAACACGGCGAAAAGGAGTACAGTTGGGCTGATTGGTTGGCAGAATTAGAACCACAACTAATGAAAACACGTCGGCCGCGTGCATGTCAGAAAGCACGTCAACTCAACACCACAGCATGTTTTCGTATGCATACGTCGTAAACATCGGGCAGTCCAAAGTGCGCCGCTGTACTTGCTCGGATGGCCGCCATTTGGTAAATAGCACCGACGTGATCGTCACGCGGGCCAGCGATATACGAGCCATACTCACGTGCTTCGCTAGCCTTGGTCAGCTTTGCCTCCTTCCCATTCAGAAGAACCAGGGCTTTTCGTATCGCCGCCCGCGCGTTTGCGTCGAGTTTGGTCCCGCTGCACGACCAAAAGGACAGATACAGCAGTGGTATGAATGAGCGCGGTACATTTGCGCCGAGGGGTTACGCGGATTCCTCTCGCAGACAGAGAGAACCAATACAGGCGATCATCAGCAGCGAGTTCAGCAGCAACCTACAGCAGTAGAGGCAAAATACACAGTAAACATAACAAGCAAAGCAGCCTACTACCTGCTTGCCAGGTTCAAACTCGCTTGCACTCAAGGGTGCACACGGGGAAAAACCCTGCAGCAGCTGTCACCGGCCTGATCGTATCACGCAACCTTACACCTTTCAGTCCTTGCCTTTGACATCTAGCGAGGGCACCGAGCACCTCGTCAGCAATGGAGGTCTCTTCCCTCAGCAGGGAGAGCACCCGCGAAACTTCTGCCATGTCACCCTCAAAGCAGAGGGAGAGGGAGGTGTGTGATACAACACGGCTGCGTGTGTCATGGCGGTCAAGGGACTGTGAGAAGTGCGAGGAGGTACCATGTGATGATTCTCGCGGAGCCCCGGCTGCAACGCTCAGCCGCCGCAGCCACCACAACCGCTGGTACAGCTGTACTCTCCTCCTTGGTGCAGCTATCTGGAAGGAAGATGACTATGAAGAGATCTATGGAAGAGATAAGCCAGGGTCCAGCGTCGGACCTGAACAAGACCGAGAGGAGGAGGTGAGAGAAGAAAACGCGGTTCTCAAATCAAGTGGTGTCTTGCCTTGGATATTTCCGGCTTCTGTGGTGCACGTCGCTGTTCAACCCAAACGCCAGGGTTGTGTGTCCATGTGCCGCGAAATAACATACGAGTGTACCGTCGCAGTGCACAACTGACACCAGGACGCCTATGGTGTGCACTGCTGCGCTGTGCCATATCCTGAAGTGGTGTTCGTGCCGCACATCGCCAGAGGCCAGAGGTGCGCCGTTGTGCTCCCCTGGAGATGCGGCGAGATTGGACATGCGGCGCAGCGTATAATAGTGTTTGCTGGCCGCAAGAGAGCTTCGGCAGGCGTACGTATTGTGTGATTGTGTGGAGGATAGGGCTCCAGGTGAACGGCTGGGGGCTGCTGGAAGGGGCACTAGAACGGAGGCGGTGCCTCTTGTGTTCCAAACGCGCTGATGATGTGTTCGTAGTTCACCCGCGACGCAAACAGCCGTCCACTTGTGCTGGCGTAGCGCTGTAGACAAGCAAGCTTGCTGATACATAGGCTCGCCTGTTCTAAAGATAGCCTTTGCAGGTACAACAGGTGCACTCGGGCCTATGCGACCACACGCTGCTGTACGTATGTTCATTGATCGGCTCCCCCTACTTTGCCTCCACCCAAAATGGCTGGTACAAACAACTTCCCTGTTGCCGATGGTTGGGGTGACATCACGTGTGGTTTGCTGACGGCACTGCCTTGACCTCGAGTATCACCCATACGCACACAGCAGTTGGGTGCAATACAGCTGCTGGGATACCGTAGGTTGAATAAGATATCGCACTTCCGGTACATAAGAAATGTTACAGAATACCACGCCCGTGTGCTAATTTTTTTCGCCCCGAAAGAAACGTAATTTGGTCACGGTGACATAGCACACCACATCCAGTAGGGCTGAGCCGTATATTACCGGCGGAGCCCCCGCTTCTCACACCGTGGGACAACGTGACGACACGTGATCACAAACACACAAGCGAAGCAAACTGCTCGCAAAAACGATGGGGGCGGAAAATGTCGTGGAGGGTGGTGCAGTTAATAACCCTGCTGAAAGCCCCGCGGCTCAGACTGCTGTGGGTCAGACGCCAGCGGAGGCTCCGCGCCTCCGCGCTCCACAACGTCATTTTCTCAACCCGCGGCGGGGGAACGTGTGACCCCTGCTGAGGCAATTCCCTCAGCAGCCGTGCACGACACTACGTGTGCTGCTGAGGCCCGAACAACATAATCTACTGCTAACCCCTTTTTTAATACCCCTTTTTTTTACCCCTGTCGTCACACCCTGTAGGTGGGTTCCTGCTTTGAGCGCACTTGATGACAGGCGACGTCGTGACGCCCCGTAAATTATCGCACCCCCTTGTAGGTGGGGTTCTGTGAGTGCACTTATCACACGGGTGACACAAGATGTCACACCCGGTACAGAATACTCGTGTGATAACTTTGGTACCCCAAAAATGTCATCATACGGGTGTGGTACATTATCTTGCGCAACCTACAATGTACGGTAGCTGCAAGGACGTGGCAACTTTCGTCATTAACCATTAGCACATGCGTCATCTCGGCCGCCATGGATGGGCCCTCTCGCATTGCGACGCTTCCACGAGCCAGTGCCGAGTCTTGACGACGAGGCACTACACCACCGCACGAATCGTCGTTTCTTCTCAGCTTTCGTGTTTACCGACGCTTGCCGCTACGGGACCCACCATGCGCTCTCTTTTTGTTTGCCCCTTCGACTCGCTTCGCGACAGGCTTGCGAAGAAAGCGAAGAAGGAGAGAGAGAGGCAAGGGAAGGGGGGGAGGGGTGGAGGTGGTGTGAATAGTGGTGCGGGGACCGCTCCTGGTCGAACGAAGAATAAGGGTCACAAGCCCAAGATGACGAAGGAGGAGCGTCGGGCGAAGTACACGCAGAAGTGAGTCGGGATGGGGGTGTCCTTCGATGATGTTAAGGGCCAGATGTAGATGCTGTTCGAGACAACCTTCACCCAGCTGGTTCTAGCGGTGCTGCAGAACTGCTCGGTGGAAGGCACGAGAGCTTGGATTGGCCGTCGTTGTTGTAGCAGCACAGCACAATGCAGTGCAGGGAGACGGTGGGCTTTCCCTCACGCTCTTACGGTACGGCCACGTCCGTGTTGCTTAGTACTGATCTCTCTGTACCGCCCGGGTGTCGGCGGTCCTCGTCACAAACATCGTGGGTGACAGGAACAGCAGTGCTAGGCTTGAAACGCGGGGGGGTGACGGTGAGCACGGGTGTAATTTTGTTCCCTGTCGTCCTCGCTGAGACGTCCTCCTGTTGCCCGTGGTCTACGGGCGGCAGAGGTGGAGGTAAGGGGGGGGGGGGGGGATAGGATATGAAAGCCTCACATGTACTTCATGCTCTCGTTGCTCCGCGAACGTCCTAACGGTACCTTTTCGATCCCAAGGTTTGTCTACCTTCATGCTTGGTGCCTCCCCGAAAAACTCAAAGCCTACGTTGAGAGGTCTCACGGCGCCACTCCTGACCTACCAGGACACAATTCAGCAGCAGCAGCAGCAACATCAGCAGCGACGAGAATGGCAGCAGCAATATCTGACGTGATACCTTAACCCCCGGACAACTTGTGCTTCCTCCGCTGTTGCGCGCGTCCGGACTGTCGTCGTCCCGCAGGGCGTACGAAGCGCGAGAAAAACAGAACCAGCTGGGTCCGGGAGCGAACAAGACTCGCTGCTTGGGGTGCAGGGCTTGGGGGCACATCGTGGCCAATTGTCCAGAAGCGAAGGTTTGGTCTCAGCGCCCACCACTCAGTACACGTACATGCCAATCAGTAACCTACGCTGGTTTTCTATGCATACAAGCGTACTGGATAGAGTATAGAATCGGCTAAAGTTAGGATTAGGGTCAGGCTGCCCCCCTGTCTGGTCTTTTTTCGTACTAGACTTAGTATATCTGCGTAGGATGTCCACGTCAATCCTCCCCCTATCTTGCACTCCCGTCTCCTCTCTCTTTTGTCTCGCGCCGCTGCCAAACCAGGCTGCTACGGGCATCTGCTTCAACTGCGGATCCGCCAAGCACGCGCTGCGGGTGTGCCCCGCGCCGAAGCAGAAGGACGGAAGCCTGCCCTATGCCACGTGTTTCATCTGCAAGGCGAAGGGACACATCAGCGCGCACTGCAAGCAGAATGCGAACGGCGTGTACCCCAAGGGCGGCTTTTGCAAGGTGAGCAGTGGTTCGTTATCGTACCTGGCGCCACTGCTGTCGTGAGACTGAGTCGCGCCTCGCACTCGTGGCCATGTACGGCGTCCTTGATCTCCTAGTGTTTTTTTTTTTGTTTATCGCGGTGGCGTTTGTTTTTGGCTGATTGTTTCACCGCGAGATGGCGACCAAGTTTGGAATCAACCAACTCCCCGGGTCTTGTGAAGCAACCGAGACCTTCGTGGCTGCTTCCCAAGCAGGCACGCAGCCGCCTTACTGCCGCAGAGGTTTATGTTCTCGCGATTACCGAGAACTAATATTGGAGTCCTGCGTCTCATTGGCCCATTTCTGTATGATTTCCTTGCTCTGCATACGGTGCGGTGCCTCCCCCGCCGCCGCCTCTATTGGGAGTAGGAACGTCGCTCCTTCTTGACTGGGATACGTGGCCAATCGACAACAAACGACTCAAGTCAGGTTGGCAGCAATGAAACCCTCCCGCCTTTCATCGCTCTACCTTTCCATCCTCTCGAGGACGCGTGGTCCATGGTCTAACAACTACGGCATGCACAACATATTCACTCGGTCCCGGCATGATAGGGGATGCGAGATCAGTGGTCTCTCACCGCTAAGGCATGCAAATCACGACTCCTCCCCTCCTCCTCCCGCCTCTACTCTCCGGAACGTTTCGCTCCAAGTGGTGCGGCTCTAAGCACCACCTGTCGTGGGACTGCCCGGAGAGCACCAAGGTGGACAAGAAGAAGCTCAACAAAAACGTCAAGAAGGACGACGCTGCCGGTACTGCCTCCGCCGCCGACGATGTTCCCGACCCTGGCGACAGCGGCAAGGACAGAGGAACGGCATCCAAGGAGGCAAGAGGAGGCGGCGGCAAGGCAGAAAGATCTACCGGCGGCGGGGGTGCTGTGGGCGGGGGGGCGGAAGAGGGTACCCCGAAACGTCGAAGGACTACTGGCAGCTCTGAGGCGTCTAGCGCGAGAGGTGAGGGAGCCGTCTTCTGCACGTGTGTTGTGTTTGTGGTTTTCGTGATTTTCGTGGGTGTGATGGTAGGAACGGCGCAAGGGGGGAGGAGGGAGCGGGTACTCATGGTTTGCTCTCCTGGGTCCCAAACTAAGTGTTGAGCTTAACCAGCTTTGGCATCTGCTGAACACGAAGTTCCAGCCCGAGCGTTCGTCTCGAGCTTTTGACACCTGGCGCGCCGTTTGGTCCTCGAGTTGTTGTAGAAGCACACGAAAGGTGGAGTACTCTAGTTCTACCTTGCGTTGTTCGATTGTCGCGACGCCCCTCGCAGGCAAAAAAACACAAGCCCGAGCAACTTTCATGGTGAAAAGCTACCAAGTGATCACAACTCTGTTTCCTTTCCAAAATACTGGAATTGTGTGTGTATGTTTTTGTCCCCATCTGATGTTTCTCCAGTCTATACCCTTGGGAACACTTGACGCAACGTGGCACCTATAGTTCAGAATACACGGCGGTGTTACATTTTTTTTTTTTTTTTCGTGTTGTGTTTGCTCGGTTGTCAACCCTCTCGCATCGCGCCGTGCAGCAGGCTCGAAGAGAGCACCGGCGTCGCGGATCGGAGGCGACGACCTCGAAGACGACGGCTACTACGACCCTGACGACGTTCCCGACGCATCTTTCGAGCACCCCGATGGGACGGAAGAGAAGCTCTGGTCGGGAAGTAGCGGTGGCGTTGCCAGCCAAGGATCGGGGAAAGGGGGATCGTCTGCCAAGAGGCAGTTGTCTTCCAAGGTCGTTGTGTTTTGATGTCGGGAAAATGTTCGTTACCGTTTTCCAAGGTTGTTGTGTTTTGATGTCGGGTAAGTCTTCATTAAATTAACCGGGGGTAGTTCCTCTTCATTGTGTTGCTAGTGCCGTTATAAACGTGCACCGGTAGTCGTGAGTGCAGACAAAGAAGAGGGAAGTGATTGCTGAAACCTGCACACTTTATAATAATGAGGGCGCGTACTTGCTGCGGGAGGAAAGGTGGAGAATTCTTCCTTGTGACCCCGGCTTGTGCGTCAAATATATTCCAAAATGTCGAGACTGGCGCCCAGAGTAGACCGGACCAAGAAAAATAGACTCTTGTCGGACCGCGTCTGGGGCTGCGCTTCTAGTCCAATGTATGTGGCCTCATTGGCGGTCAGCAGGTTTGTCTGTGGAACGAGAGAAAAAGACTTGGAGACTTTGTAGTGCGGTTTGTTGCTTGCGTGTGCCCTTCACGCTCGGCATTGAGTGGAATGTGCCGGGTTTGGCGTTGGTTGTGCCTGGTTGCTAATCTTGATGTTACCAGTGTTGGTTGCTTCGAGCTGATTGGTGTTGTGTTGTGTCGTGTCCCGTGCATGTTTTGCCCACCCTCCTTCACATGCCAAAACAAATTATCACATTATCACGACATCGTGAGTAGTTGAAGAATTCGTTCCTGTACAACGCTGAACGCAGCCGACGTACATACTCTCAAGACATTGGGTTTGCGGCAATCATCATGCCATGAGCGCTGCAACCTGCTCAAAATTGTCGACCTCGAAACAAACGGAGAAGGCAACAAAGGTCGTGGCCTCTCCGAGAAATGTCCCCCCAATCTTTGCCGTACGGTTTGCCTGCATCCATTTGTGTCGCCCAATGTGCCGTCGTTGCAATCGATGGTTGATGGAGACCCCCCCACCCCACCCCACCCCTTTCTTGGAGAGCGCAACAACGGGAAAACCTTGACGTCACACCACATCACCCTACTTCGCACACCCCTATCTTTCCAGTTTCACCAGCAATCCATTGATTTCGTTTTCCATGCCGCGGCGTCGGCCTCCCAGCTGTGTCGTCTTTATCTATCCTTGTGGGGAAGGAGCGGCACTTGTCTTCCTACCCCTAGAGGCATGAGAGGGAGCAAGCAGCATTGCGTAAGCAAGCAGGCTTTGCGTGGGCACAAGCATTGCGTGTTGAATGAACCACAGCCACTACTCTTACGGCGGTACAACCTCGGCGGCGACGTCGCCTGCCTGGGCTCCGGCGTTGTTGGCGCACTCCTTGCCGGCCAGGCCATCTGCCTCCCCGGTGGAATCGCTGGCGACCGCGAATTCCTTCGCAAGATCCGGCAGCGACGAGAGGGGGATAACTTCGCACGCAGTGGCAGGTTCAGAACAAGGAGCAGCTCCTGCCACCGCCGCCGCCGCGGGGACCGCGCTTGCCGCTTCCTTTCCGGGCTCCGTTGCATCCGTCACCGTCGTGTTATCCTCCGCGGTTGCTTCACCACCACCGCCGCCCTCGTGGGTAGCCAGGTCGTACAGAGCGTCGACCCTCTTCTTTTCCTTCTCCTCGTCACCGCCGTCGCTGCTGGATTCGTCTCCGCTCTCCGATGATCCGCTCTCGCTCCCCTCGGTCCACGGGCCGTCTTGGTCCGAGTCGCGGCCGCCGTAGAAGTCGTCGTCGTTTCCCGGGCGGGGCGATGACTCCGGCACTTCGCGACCTTCCGAAGCGAAACCCTTGAGCTTGTCGGACGCAAGGCAGCCGCCGAACGTCTTGCGCAGGTTCGCCTCGTATGCCTTTTCCGCGCGGGCGAGGCGCGCGAGGCCCTGGGGGACGGGACGGGGGTTTTCCCGTGCGAAGCAAAGTCAGTCGCTTGCAATTTTCTCGCGTGTAGAGCTGGTGGGGTCCTCAAACATTCATGCATCTCCCGCAGGTTTACTCAGGGCCGCCCCTCTCAGTGTGCGCTTGAGCGTATCGTATCTATCTACGGTAGACTACGCGCACATAATAACAATGCACTACTACGAGCTATTTTTGCATCATGACAACCGTCATGAAGGCCCTACACTCTCCCCCAGGCCAGTAGACCTCCCCTACCTGACGGCACTGCGAGTTCTTCGGGTCCACGTCCAGAACGCTCCTAAACACGCGGCGCGCCTCTCCCCAGTCCCCGACCGCCTCCAGCGCGCACGCCCGGCGGTAGGCGGCCTTGATCCCGGCGGGGCAATCAGCGGCAACGGCCTTGAGAGAAGACGCGCGTTCGGCCGCTGCCAGAGCGGAAAGCGCCTGCCCCATCTTGAGGAAGCACGCGGCTTGGTTGCACAGGACGGCGACCTGCAGGTCAACGAATTCGTCCCCGTGCTTTCCTCCCTGGCTGTCGTTGCGGTTAGCATCGTCGTTGGCCTGCGTCGTGTCCGAGGAGGAGCTGCTGGTCTCGTCCCCGTCACCGCCGCCGTCTTCGGAGTCTTGGCCTGGCGGCACCCCGTCGGCGTACTTGATTGCCTTCTCATAGCGTCGTGACGCACTGGGGAAGGGAAAATCATCCCGACAGGACGGAACGTTTTAGCTTCTAGCGGGGTAGAGGAACAGGCCGGGTGGTTCAGGAGCAGCTCCTTCGCTCAGCTCAATACAATCAGCTAAACGGCGTTGGGGGGTCGACGTTCGCGAATCTAGTGGCGGGAGGCTCTTGAGTGCGTGGTTCAAGTATAGTAGTGTTCAATGATGCAGGGGTGGCGCCCTCAAAACATGTCGGGGCAAAATCGAGACCCTGACTGCCATATCCCGTGACGGCACTCACCCGGAAAATGGAGGATTTTCTGATGTGAACGAATACGTTTGTACCTGTGAGCACTGACTGCTTGGAAATCTAGCCTGGATTAGATAATTGCACTGCGCTTACCACGGCCTATCTATCCCGATACGCATCACCAACACAGACCCGTCCTCCTGCTGATGCACGGTATCACGCCGCACAATGGAACGCCATCTACCCCCGGCTATTGAGATTCCTCCCCGTACGCTAACTAACCTGGGGTAGTCACCGGCGATGAACTTCTCGTTCCCCTCGACCTTGAATCTGCTGGACATCTCAAGGCGAACCTCCTCTGCGGCAAACACCGGGGGAAGCTCTTCCACTTCCACAAGCTCCAGAACCACTTGGTGGTAAAACCGTCCGTCATCTAGGTGGTCAACTGCAGCCAACCGCGTTCGTATTAGGTGCAAGAGGGGTTGGATTAAAGCCAGGATGCGGCATAGGCAGGGCGAGGGAAGGGCGAAGGGGGCGAGACGGCCACCGGGGGCAACGCCACGAGGAGTGTTGCTTTGGCGACTTTTCTATGGGGTGGTGTCTGAGGTTTAGATACAGTAGTGCAGGCCCAAGGCTTGTCGAGGCCTAGATGCAGTAGTGCAGGCCCAGGGCTTGTCGGGCGATGAAGACACGTCGGCATACTCACCTCACCTCATCGTTTGGGTTCCCGTTGTTTCTAGACAAGGGGCAATAACGTCGCATCTGCATTGCTCAGGGTTTTGGGGGCGCGTGGCTAAAAGTGGGGTGCGCGCGGTGTTCTTTCCTCACCCGGACCGTACTTGGGGTCCAACCAGGCGTCGCACTGCTCGCCCTTGCTCATGCTCTTCACGACGGCCATTACGCCGGGCCCGAAGGGGCAGTCGTCCAGCACGAAGCTCAGGGGTCCTTTGAGGCCGTCGCTTCCTCCATCGTCGTCGCCGTTGCTCCCGGGCGCCTCTTCCTGGCTCTGGAGGTTGTCGAACACGACGGTTTCGCCGTTGTCGTCTCCCTGCTGCTGCTGCTGCTCAGCGGGCTCTTGGGCTATCGGCATACGAATCACGCGGCACCTTTGATTGGCGTTGTGGTGTGACCACCGTGCCACACACCACGACAGACAGCCGTGGGGGTAAATACATACATGGGGGTTGGGACCAAGATTAATGTGGGAAGGCACAGCTCACGCAATGAACGGAGTGTGTGTCTTTTTTTTTGTCTCGTCCGTGCTGGGCAACTATCGTGGCCTGCCGAGCTAGGTATGCCTATCTAATCCGACTCCCGGTCATCCTTTCGCCCACGAAGATAGGGAGAGTGATGAGACTGCTTCAAATTCGTCGAACTCAAAACTCTCTCTGTCAACAACCGGGGAAGTCGTCGAACAAGGCACAATGAGGACCCAGTTGCCGGGGCTTCCGGTTTAAAGTCTAGTCGTTAAACATACGTACCGTACGGTCACCCCGCCGATCTCCACCGGCCGCGTCACGCCGTCGCCCTCCCGCAAGACGCGCTTCATCAACGAGTTATCCTGCAGCTCGCTAAGATCGACCTCCTCCATCCAGTCGTCGAGAGAGATAACATACTCGAAGCGACGGTCGGCCGGTGGCTTGCTGCTGCTATCGGCGGCGTTCTCTTGGGCGGCATCAACGATGCCTTCGGTGGTCACGACGAAGGTCGCAAGCTCGTTTCTGCCCATGGTCTCGATCCCGCAGTGCAGCAAGGGATTGAGTTCCACCCCTGCGGCGTTCGCCTGTTGGAGTACTTCCTGCCACGGACAGCGCCGACAAAAGAGACGACGCAATCAACACGGGCAACCAGGTAGTTTAGCACTGACCTTTCCCGTGAAGAACACGCCACAATTGTGCAATACATCGGACATTGTCCCAGCGCCGTTATGGTTGGAGGATATGCAAACACACACCACAACGACACACAACAATGTTACAGCTGCTGTTGCTTCGAACGGAAGCAACAGCGGTGATACGGTCGCCACTTTTCACAATCGAAACAGGCAGGCACGTGCCCCTGAGATATCGTCGGCTTACGTCTTACCTGCGGAAAGCCTTCCTCTTCGTCCTCCCCCAGTCTGAACTCTAGCTGCAAGAACTCGGGCTCAACCTGCCTTACCATCTCTCTTGCATCTTTGTTGGGGACTTCTTTCACGCCGTCGGTATCCGTTGGTGTTTCTTCCTCCTTCGACGGGGACAGTTCGCAGAAGCGGTGCACGGTTACGGTCACGTCCCACCCCGCCTCAGGGCGTTTCCATGATCCTCGTGAGCACTGGCTCGCTGTCTTGAGGATCCGACCGTCGTCGTTGATGTCGAAAGGTTCGAACGGGATCTCGCCCTCAGATTCGTCGTCAGAAGGTTCCCGTTCTTGGTTCTCCTGTCCGCACTCGATACCAGCAGTGGTTGCCGCAGTGTCGTTACCCTGTCACGATCATCGGCACGAGTGGATACACACGTTTGGTTGTGAATCGTGGGGCTCCCCTCCGAACCAAGCAGGGACGCTTCATCCCGTCGCAACAACTTGTGAATGAAGGACGGTACAGCAGTGGATCCAATTGTGGTACCAGAAGGTTGATCCCAACATTCAGTGCGAAAAACTGTGGCCTGCTTCAGTTGCGGCTCCGCAGACACGCCACACACGAAGCAGAAATATAGAAAGGTGAAGGAAGAGAGAACATGGAATTACGATGTTTGGTACCGTGACCGAGTCACATTGCTCGTGCGTTTGCCATCTTTTTTGCAAATTTGCATTGGATCCAGGGTCCCCAGGAGGAGTAAGATATATCCAAGAATATCCATCCAAGCTGTGAGTCAAGCGGCGAGGCGGAGAAATCAGTGCAGGTGATACCGCTGTAACTCCTACAAGTCTACACGACATGTTCGTGCACTTCATTGTATTTGCTTCCTTTGAAGTAGTCACTCTCCAGGTATGTGGGTTTTGAATCGATCATGGTGACATGGCAGTGCAACAGCGCGTGCATGTTCCAAATTTACCCGTCGAAAAAGATCACTTCTCACCGCTTCGTCCGTAGCGACGTGTGCCTGTTCGGCTGTGTCGCTCAACTTGTCACCCTGGGCTCCCTCGGGCATTGTAGCCACGTCTTTCAGAGGAGAAGCCATGTGGAGGAGGAGATGCGCTTAGGGTGGTGCAGCTGGTTTGTTTGGGTGGTGTGGCAACAAGCCAAGTTGTCCGTAGCGGAGAGGGGCACCGCATATGGGCAGATTTTGCGGGGGGGTCGTGACTGAAACATGGTGGGGTGTCCGCCACCATCTCTCCGTCCCGCCTCCCACTCACTACTCCCAAGCAACTGGAACTGCCCGTACGCAAGAGCGGGAGCGGATACCACTGTCTCAACCTCGAGCCATAAGGGTGCGTTTGGAGGTGACCGACTTCGCGATTGATGGGTACAGTAGTTTGCTGTCGATATTTACCAAAATATTCAGCGTGCCTACAAGCAGTAGTCTCGTCGTTGGTTAACTTTCATAATCTTTGAGTTCAAATTTGCGCATGTTTATTCGTCGTCGCTGCATGTATTCCGCCAGGCGCGCCTAATCGCGTAGTAGGAGCATAAGTCAGCGGATTCGTGGATGATTTCGGCGTTTGTACTGTACATGGCAGCAAGACACGGAGGCGGCGGAGCTCCTCGAGGACGCAATCGATGGGCCGGAGCATCGGCAAGGCCACGGGGGAATGCAAGTCGACCGCCTCGGCCCACCCACTTCCTGTCGGTACGGATCGACAATCCGCAGATATGGGCAAAGGTGAGTGCCACCGTAGCACAGTAGCTTGTTCATCCGTATGGCTTGTATGGAGGCTGAGCCGTGGTCTCGCCAAAAGAGACGTCGCGCATCAATACCAGCACAAAACAGGCCCGCAGATGAAACGTCAACTTCGGGTCGACATTTTTTTATTTTTCTTAATATGACACCACGAAGCCATCTCCATCATAGAAAAGAGTCTGAGACAGATTAGCAATGGATTCATAGCGTCAGAAAAGTACCTGTATGTCTACGATTTCCCAGACAGCATATAGGGACATCTCCCCTGCGGGTAACAGGCTCAACAAGACAGTTTGGTGCATTTGTAATTTTCTGCAGAGCACAGGGTTTACTGCTCAAATGGTGTGGTGCGGGATCCACCGCTGAGCAATGTTGCTTTCAAAGTAGATCTATTTTCTTTATTCGTGGAAATCTGAGTCTCCGTTCCTCAACAAAATGTTTCTCAACTGCGGTCCCGCCGCAAACTCAGTTGTCATTATTTTTGCGCTCGATGAAACCTCAGATATCAACCATCCAGGGTGACATCTTGGCCGGAAACCAGCACCTGACAGACGCGGCAATCCCGGTCCAAGCCTCGCACCTGACCCTCTTCGTGCTGACGCTAAGCGAGAAAGACGGTAGCCTGCAGGTGAATTGAAGATCGCGATGCTGTCGAATAGCCACACACGGTCGATGCATTTATTAACATACGCTTCACAGTAGTTGTACGGAAGAATGAAAACATTGTTGGATCACCAACGACGACATGGAATTTTCCCAAGCGTCCTCCCGCGTGGTGCATCGGTACCCGACTCTGGAGTACTCGTATTCATATCACCAGTTTCTTTTTCTTTTGAGCCAAGCATCACACCATTCGTCTTCTTCCCGCAGCAAGCCAGAGATACCCTCGAACACTGCGGAGACCTCTTGCTGGAGCACGGCCTCTCCCCCGAAGTCGACCTCCAGGCATCAGCCAGCAGAGCAGAGAGCGTGCCTGATGACCATATGCATCCGGCTGCTCTCGCCATAGGGGACAGCAACGAGACAGCGCCGGGGGTAGCGGCAGCCTCACCCTTGATGCTCTCCTTCCGAGACCTCGGTCACTTTCGGAACAAGATTTTGTTCGCAAAGCTTGTGGAAGACGAGCAAGCGACCAGGCTCAGGGGGTTGGCGTCCTCGCTCCACCGACGGTTTTCCGAGGCCGGTCTCGTGGAAGAAGCCGCGGGTTTTCCAAGCCGTAAGGGTGAAAAGAGGGGCGACGGGGACGGGGGCGGCGGCAGCGGCAGCGGCACCAGCAGCGACAGCTTCGAGTTCACGCCTCACCTCACAATCATGAAGACTTCGAAGCTCAGGGATAGGGGTACCTTGATACCGGCCGATTCGTACGACCGGTATCAGAACGGTTTCGTTGTCGGCCATCACGCACCATCTAGCGTCGAACTGTCGAGCATGCTGGAGAAGGAAGATGTGCCGCCTTTGGAGGGTTGGGAGCCCAGACCGTACTACAAGTGCGAGCATAGGCTCGGTCTCTGCACCCCTGCGGTGTAAGTAGTGTTTTGAGTCGAGCTTTTATTGTCATGTTCGGAGAGGGGGAGAGAGAAGGCAGCCTAGCGCGTACAATCGCCAGCGTGCCCCAGCTTTCGCTCAGGTGCACGCCATGACATCCAAGTTCCTGTGACTCATTGCGTCTATAGAGAATCAGAGTCAGTTAGTTGGGGTCTTCTGTCCTGCTTGCAGCCAGCGAAGAGAGCCGCTGGGAAAGAAAAAAGGTAAGGCATGCTACGCCTTAACTACAGTAGCTTGATCTCGGGTCGGACTCCTTGCACATGTCAGCTCAACAGCAGGGGCTGCGTTATCGGTTTTGGCGTCTGCAGGTCAGTCTGATGTGAAACTTGTACGGCACAGCACCGTCTCGCAACCATGCGTTAATTAAATCAGGGCAATGACGTCTGCTAGCAGGCACGTTCATTCTGAACGGCCTTTTCCTTGTTTCGGGTATCTGCGATGCCTCTGTCCATGTTTATTGCGTGCGTTGTCGCCCCATCCATAGTCTGGGCGCCAGTCTACGCCTCTTGGTACACGTTTGACGCGCGCTCACCGGGGGACACATCGGAACGTTATCATTGGTTCAAGCTTGCAGCGCCTTTCGTCGTAGGCGTTCCCGACCTGTCTCTCTGCCAACAGTATCGCCCTTGGGTTTCATGCATTTGCTTCTTCCTTCCAGGGTCAACCGACACCTCGTTCACTGTCTTGTCGGTTTCTACCATGATGCCAGACGAGCCTGCCCCATATCATGGCCAGTCCCCCTTTCTTCGCCAAACCAAAAAACTCCACACCAAAAAATGTCAAGAAGAATAGCGTCACCCTTTCTTCGCCACACCAAAAAAATGTCAAGAGGACTAGAATCACCGGTCCAAAAACTTGTCAGAGAAATAACGTGAATGTTCACCTAGCAAGAGCGGATTAGCCAACATTTAACACCAGCGAGAGACGATTGACACTGGCAGCCCCTGTGGCTGTCAAAACAGATACCGGCCCGCAACGGCACCAGCGAACATGGCAAAGCACGTACTGCTGTAGACAAAAGAGAAAAATACACAAACACGGCACCATATGTGCATATCATTGGGCACTTGGTCAGCAGCGCGGTCGATGCTAACCAACAACACACACGTTCTTCGCATTCATTGTTATAACGCACAAAATTCATCCATGGCAACTGCACAAGCCGATCCAACACTCGTCTGCTGCACACATGGCACGACACCCCCCCCCCTCTCGTTTCACCATTCACTGACTATAGCAGAATGGAAGTGAACGCCGTTCTTGGCCTCACAGCCACAAAAAATTCCATATGACACTGCCCCATCCTTCCACCACAACAAAAAGCAACCGTTTTATGTCTAGTCTATCTAATCTATGGAAAAAAGCGAAGAAAAACAAAAAACACACTGTTTGCGTCAAAATCAAGCCTGCGGTGCCCACCAGTATATGATGGCAACACCCCACTCTACAAAGACAGCCATCGCGGCTGCAACGACAATCACACCAAAGACGGCACTGCTTGGCCTTGTTTGTGTTCAGCTGGAGACCATCAACTCGACTTCGTCGTTAGACGAATATTGCGAGAAACGGCTTCTTTCTTCCGCTGGTGGTTTCTTAACGCGCCCGGCCGCCGTAAAAAAACGTGCTTTCAAGACACACACCCAAAAACATACCACACCTTTGCGGGCGGGAGCGCTCGCTCGCTCGCCCCTTTCAAAAATCACGGCAAACGCTCAAAGAAAAAATCCTCAACGGTTCGCATCCCATTCCCCCATCACACACCACCCAGCAGACGACGTGGTCAAAATCGCAAGTGCAATAGAAGTCGTGGTTTTACAATTTGCTCGAACCCATTTCCATACAACGACATCATATTTCCGAACGAAAGCAGCCGACGACGCGCCCCCCTGGCGTTCTTCTGTTGGCTGCTTCGCATCCGACACCCCCCCCCCGTCCCCCCCCCTCCCCCCCCCGCGGCGTAATTGTCACCACCCACCGCCGTGTGATATCTAATTCAAACGGTGTATCGGCTGTCGTATTCGCCGCCGCCGCGTGTGATCGATCCAATCTCGAAGGGTGTATCGGTTACCCAGCAGTCGACCTGGTCAGAAAGCAAACTTCGCATCCGACACCCCACCATACCGCGCTCATCCGCGACCCCCCCCCCCCCAGCGGAACCGTCGCCGCCGGCGGTGATTAGATCCAACCTCAGAGGGTGTATCTGTTGTCGTCTTCGCCGTCCTTGAGAAGCCGCGCCGCGTCCGCCGCCTCCACGAAGCCCGACGCCTCGGGCACGACCCACCGGTACCGCTCCGCCCTCGCCTCCCCGCGCCGCCACTGCAGCTCCAGAACCGCGCAGTTCGGCCACGACAGCTTTCGGAAGTAGGTCGTGTCGCAGCCGAGGGCGGTCCACAGGAGCGCCTGGTTGATGGCGTTGTGGGCCACGACGAGGGTCCGCGGCTGGTCCTGGATGGACTGGAGAGAGCGGATCTGGTCCCAGGCGTTGCTGGCCCTTTTCCACAGGTCTCTCGCGGGGTATCTGTGTCAGCCGGGTGTGCGGGATATATGGGTGTTGGCAGGGATTTCGGCGGTGATGGTGGTGGTTTCCGACGGGAAACATATCGAACAAATATAGCTATTCGGAGAGATGCGTCACGCCGCAGCAAGAAGCTTCAACCCATCCACTTCGACTGTGGTTAGACTATATGTCTCGAACGGAAAGTCTCTCTTCGATGGTAGACTATGTGTGTTTCCTAAAAAACAAGCCTAGTATCACTGCTCACGGTGACAACCATTATTCTCATTGGCGACATTGCATGTACAACGCATATTATCTACAAAAAAAATGAGCAGGGAAACACGATCGGGAGAAGAACGCGGCGCGCCACCATCCCCAGACACAACTAACTTCCCGGCAAATCGTGAGCCTTTCGCAGAACTAAGTGCAACTGCCATTAAAGGAGCAAGGTCGTCCGCGGCGGGCTTGCTTGCTTACCTTCCGGAAAAGTTAAAATTGGACGGGTCTGCCACCCACGAGGCGTACTGCTCTGGATTATTCTTGATTATGTCTTCCTTAAGCTGTCCCTGCCTGCGCGGGCAAAACACACGTACGGACGGAAACCGGGGAGCGTGTGTCGGGCTGAGCAGTTTGCCGGAAAAAACAAAAACCCGAGGGATTGGAGCAGAGAGATGCCGTTGGACAGCAGTAGTAGGTAAATAGGTGCGGATGGAAATCACGGCTGCTGCTCTGTAAGAGTTTTCACTCCGTACATAGCTGCTGTGAGCTCGACAAAATATTGAGGACTGCTGTAGCTTACGCGGCCGGAGGATCATGGTACTGTACCATGCAAATCCTGCAAGTTTACGGGGTACGTTCAGTCTTGGTTGTTAGTGGGGGTACCTCTACGACCGGACGTACGTAGGTATTACTAACATCGCCTGCAACACGCAACTGCGATAAAGGGTGGCATGCAGTGAATGTACGTACATTTCTAAAAAAAAAATCAGCAAGAGGGAGAGCCCCAACGGAAGGAGGTATACACGAATTGCCAGAGGCGAACGTTGAATGGACACCGATTACAAGCCGGAGAAGGTTGGGCGCGAGAGGCTGGGAGGACGGGTTGGGGGTATGACCTGAAAATGTTTTATTGCATTACCCTCCGAAACAAAACACACCCGAGTTAGAACTTGCAATAATCCCAAAGTTTCATCACCGAGGTTTGGTTTCTGACGCGGTCGATGACCCGTGTCTGCTTACAGCAGTGTTCCAGCGTGAACAAGCTGTGGCGGAAAGCGCTCGCCGGGTGCCCTTTCTTGGCGGAGCTGGAAAAAAGCTTATTTAGCTTGCATACGTTTGCAACACCCCAACACACGCGAATACGTCTGCAGGTAAACAAGTTTTGTACCCTGCGTTCTGCAGCACCTGGAGATGTGAGTGCCGTCAACGTTTGCGGCTAAACGCATGCCCAAATCCATTGGATACCGTAGCCGTCAGAGATGCCACGTACAGCACAGTGGAGACAGCCGTACGTGAAAAAACAAGACCGCACCTCCCCACAATACACCCTGGGTGGGATGCTGCTGTTGTAACACGTTACAAGAAGAGAGCGCTTACTAATGGGTGTAGAACACCTTCCTCGCAACACAGCCTAAATTAAAATATGGTTCCGGCTGGCATCGCCGGTTTCTCACGGTAGATACTGTAAGGACTTTAGCTTCAACAGACTCAACACAACCCCGCACCCGGCACGTTGTTCTCAATCGTGGCCTTCAACACACACCCTCTGAGAATAATCGCCAACAGCTCGTCTTTCCGTGACGACTATATACTCCTTTCTACGAAACATATGGGTCAGCACGAACGGTTAGCCACTCACCACTCGAAGAGCTCGATTTCCCGAATGTCTGGCACGATTTCCACGGTCTCGAAGTCCTTGCTAATCTCGCTCTTCCTAAGCTCCTGCCGCACGCACTCCAGCGTCTGCTGAGCCCGACCCATCGGAGAAACTACCACCGTGGGACCCAGGTCCAGGTCGGCGTATGAGGCAAGCGTCTTGCCAGCCTCCAACGCTTGCGAGATGCCTTCCTCCGTCAGAATTGACGAATCTAACGTTCCCTGCAGCAGATACCAGCACACACGCGGGTACATAGAACCAAGCAGAGTTCGTCTTTGGGAAGGGCAATCCAGATTGCACGACGGAACCTTCGGCGAAAGTTCGGCTGGACGCGAACAACTCGAATTCGACACCACAAACAAAACTATGCGTGGCTGCTAAAAAGCTGTAGCTAGCTGTGGTGCGAGCGAGCGCTGGCTCGATCGCAAGATACGCGTCCCTCCCTAGAGCATCGCCGCACGCACGGCTCACACAGGTTGACGGCACTCACGCACAGGGCCGTGCGTCGCACAGCGAAGCGTTGACGTCAACTCCCCAAGCGTAAGACCCTCTGACTGCTCGTCGTCAACTGCTCGTCGTCACGGCCTTGTATCCATGGTCGATGCGCCATAGCAAAGAGTCGGTGGTATCATACATCATGCGACACTCGCACTACAGACTAATAGAGAGCAGCTCCCGAGGACACAACACTCGCCCACAAAAACAAGCACACGACACGCACCTGGATACGCCCTATGGCGTTGAAATTGGTCTGCCCATGCCGTAACAAGAAGAACGACTCGAGCTCGCCGTCATCTCCGGCGGGCGGGAAGGGCGACTCTGGCGGCGTTGCGGTTGCAAGACCGCGGGGACCGGTGCCAGCTTTCGCAGACGATTCCGCCGCAGTGCTCCGAAACAGCCGCTTCCCAACGCTGCTGCTACTACCGCCACCGAAGCAGAAGGCCCTGGTGAAGCTCTTCCTGGCGGTGGCCAGGGCTATCAGGAAGCCTCCAGGGGCTGGTCGCGGTCGACCTGGTCTCCGCATCTCTTCTGATGAACCCTAAATCGTAGTGTATGTAAATCGTTCGTTCGTTGTGTTTCCGCCCCGCTCGGTTTGATGTTTGAACCCTGAGGGGAGGGATGTGAGGGTTGAAAGCACCGGGTAACAGATGCCACAAGCATAGTGTGGATGAGTTTGAATAAGCTACGGCATGTCTCCCGGGCTCGGGAAGTGGGGCACTGGAAGTGAAACAAGAGAGATGCAAGTTGAACAGCTCTCTGCAGGTATACTGCGAACATGAAACGAAACACGAAAATAATCGCTGCAGACCCGATGCTGCACCCTTTTGCTCCGATAGGGGACACGAAGCACACAGACCACACTCAAGACTTCACAGAGGCCGGAGAACACAACACACCTGAGGGAGATGCCCACACGCCCACTCAAAAGGACTGGAGTGGACACACGCACGATGGAGAAACAGACGTGCGTGTGCAGAGTGCCTGCATCAATCGTAAACTGGGATTTCGTAGTGTGATTATGGCGTGTGCGCGTCGAACCCCCCCCCGCCCCCCCCCCCCCTCCCCGCTCCCCACGCCCGATCGACTAATAATATTAGTCTGGCGTGGTATCTTGCCTTTGAACGGGGGTAGCGCCCGTTGTCACCCTCGAGATAGCCATGTGCATGCAAGCAATGTGGCAGTAGCAGCCGCTGCGCGTTGCCTCCGCGTGGACAACGGGCGCTCGGCCCGTACGTGCGCACGTTCCTTCATGCGCACTTACTGTCTTCTTTTGCGCAGGCGTGTGTTGGTTCAACTCTCTGTCTGGCGTATTTGTTCTGGCCACAGCACTAAACTACTGTAGCTATTCTCTGAGTCAGCGGGCCAAGCGCACTTTGGGGGTCGAAACGTCGGACCCTTGTGGCCGCATCCATCAATATGGTACTTCGTCCTGTGGAAGAACATCGAAAGCGCGAAGGGCCCCGGGAGGACATACATGTTCCCACTTTGCTCCCCTTTTTGCCCTCTTGGCCACGGCCGGTAAACCGCTTTCTGATTTCGGTGAAGGCTCTCTCGCCCCCTTCGTTTGTCATCCTGATAGGGAAGGAGCCGCCGCAGGAATCCGAATACAGCTGAACACCAGGCAACCCTTTCGTACTAGAAGCAAAAAAAGAAGGGACTGCTTCCGCGACACAGCGGTTGACAATGGTCTGGTTTCTGGATAATAACCAAAATAATCGCATCATATGCATACATCTCGGCAAAACGAGCAAACAAAACGGTCGCCAGTAAACTACAGCTTGGGATATGACCCATCCCTACACACCGCCCCCCCCCGGTGTTCGCCATCGGGGTTGGGTTTTCGTCGCTTGGCAACGACGTCGTAAAACAAGCCATTTCACTTCGTGAACTCGGCAACCAGGTTACCGTTTTTTATTGTCCTTTTTTTATTTTTTTTCGGTAACCATGAATGGTGGTCGAGTTGATTCTGTTGTGCAGGGTCGAGAACCCTCACTCCGCGCAAAGGGGATAATCGCACCACGTTGTGTTAAAATGGTCAAGCGCCCTCGAGGCAGTTTCACAATGCTTACAACTGTCTCTGGAAGTGAAAGCACCAGAAAATAAATTAAGTCATACGTAGCTGTCATCCGTACGCAAGGAAGTAAGCACAAGATGCCGAACACCCTTAGCAGGATGCAGCGCACCCTTCATGCGACTCGCCGAATACCTCACGGCGCTTCGCGCTTGGTGATGTGAGAGTCTGGTCCGGTGAGAACCCGGCGTGCTGCGTCCCGGCTTTGTAGGGATGCGAGGTCAATGGTCTAACCACTACGGCATGCACGACTATGAGTACACCCCCCCCCCCCTCCCTACACACACGCTGACGATACTACAGAGGCGTGACGCTTTCGTCAGTGCCGCTGAATCAAGCAAGCGCATTAGCAAGAGGCGAAGCCATTCGGTGAGCCTCCAATCACCAGAACGTGTTGCCCTTCATCCAGTTGTCTAAATCCACCACCTGTATTCACGCCACGCGAGCGACAACGTGCGTGGACGAGAGGAGGCCGGGGCGGGGACGGGTGCGCGTAGACAACGAAAGGTTGGGGCATCGAGACCGGGATAGATACCAGCAAACAGCGCACAACACATGAAACAACTTTCACGAAGGCGAACCGGAAGGGGCGTCACCAGGTCAGGTGACGGGCAGACCAACGGCGGTGCGTGGAAAAGAGCGTAGTGGTCATACGCCCCCGCTTAAATGGCCGGGACGGTTTGCAGAGGAGCACAACCTCTAGACAAGGGACACGTCAACCACACCAGCCTCGCACGCCAGCCGAAAAAATGTCTACCTCCACCGAACACCTCGTTTCTCTTTCTTTCATCGTCACAAGTAGAAGGAGGGCTTGGATGTTCCTCGTGTGTCTTTCTCACCGACCACTGGAAATCGCGCTTTAAAAATGGAGACGACTCTAGACGGAGCCGATGCTTGCGGACGGCGACGGCCTTACTCCCTTGTACAATCTGCAGGGTTTGGGATAAACAGGGGGCGAGGGCGATGATGAAAAAGGGGCCTCAGGAACACGATCGCCCGAAAAAATGAACAAATGCCGGGCAGCGGAGGGTAAGAGCAGAGAGTTGTCCACCTATACATACGAAGGGTAACAACGGGGTTGGCAACGACGGAGAGATGGGAAAGCACAGCGTTCATACCTCATGTCATCGAACCTGAAACCGTGAGAGCCGGCGAATAGCGAAATAAAAACGAGAGACCAACGGACAGACTAAACCGCGCGGTGCGAACTTCCTCGAAGGGCGACAGGGAGGAGAGACATTACACGAGGAGGGCGGACTGATCGATCGGTCGCCGACAACAACGCACCTCCTCCGTCCGATTGTCGGAGACGAAGAACGTCTCGGTACAGCCGATGTCCACGTCCACCTGCACCGTGGTCTTCCGGATCGAGGACAAGGGCTTGTCGAGACCGGCTCGGTCCTTGTTCACGCGATATCTGGATATCGCCTTGATGTCCTCGAGCACCGACTTCAGCACGTACTTGGAACCCCAGATTTCGATCGTCTCTCCTTCTTCCGGCAGGTCGCCTCGCTGAGCACCCTGTTATTCCAGTTCCGGTAGAAAGTTACGCCCATGTCCGAACAAAATACCATGGGGGGGGGGGGGGGGGGGGGACCCACAGTCGTGCCTGG